CTGCTGGACCGCTGCCCGGTACAGCTGGACCGCTGCACGGTACAGCTGGACTGCTGACCGGTACAGCTGGACCGCTGCACGGTACAGCTGGACCGATGTTCGGTACAGCTTGACCGCTAACCGGTACAGCTGTACCGCTGCCCGGTTCAGCTGGACTACTGCCCGGGCCGGCACAGCTGGACCACTGCCCGGGCCGGCACAGCTGGACCACTGCCCGGGCCGGCACAGCTGGACCGTCTTTACTACGGCCGTCGCCGTACGCCGGCCGTAGTAAAGACGTCGCTCGCTGCGTCTCCATTCAGTGCGCCGCTTGGCTTCGTCGTGTGTGGTTGTGTACGTGTTGCTGCGACGACTCCTTCACAGTGCCGGCACATCAACATTTTCAATAAATTCTCATTCAAAACTTAGAAAACTAAATTATGAGTGAATAATTCGAATAATAACACCTTAGTTAACTTGGGTATTCTAGTAATGTTTATGGAAATTTAGAGAAGTGATTGGGTATTTTAAGAAATTACGAAGCAGGTTTGCCTTCCCAGGTGAGGGTAGGAGCGCGTGTTTTGAATCTACCCTCACTTGATCACTTGATGATAATTATAGGATTATTATTTTATTGTAACAATCATATTAATGTGATAATCATCGGATTATTATACTAGTACAACAATCATATTAATGTAATAATCATCGGATTATTATACTAGTACAATCATCATAACCCTTACTTGATCATATGAGACGGTATGAGTTAACCAACCTAATCATATGCATATACCTTTATAGAATATATAGTTTATCGCACACCTGTCTCTTATACACATCTAGATGTGTATAAGAGACAGAGNTTCGGTACAGCTTGACCGCTAACCGGTACAGCTGTACCGCTGCCCGGTTCAGCTGGACTACTGCCCGGGCCGGCACAGCTGGACCACTGCCCGGGCCGGCACAGCTGGACCACTGCCCGGGCCGGCACAGCTGGACCGTCTTTACTACGGCCGTCGCCGTACGCCGGCCGTAGTAAAGACGTCGCTCGCTGCGTCTCCATTCAGTGCGCCGCTTGGCTTCGTCGTGTGTGGTTGTGTACGTGTTGCTGCGACGACTCCTTCACAGTGCCGGCACATCAACATTTTCAATAAATTCTCATTCAAAACTTAGAAAACTAAATTATGAGTGAATAATTCAAATAATAATATCTTAGTTTAATTAGGTATTCAAGTAATGTTTATGAAAATTTAGAGAAGTGATTGGGTATTTTAAGAAATTACGAAGCAGGTTTGCCTTCCCAGGTGAGGGCAGAAGCGCGTGTTTTGAATCTACCCTCACTTGATCACTTGATGATAATTATAGGATTATTATTTTATTAAAACAATGATAATAATGTGATTATCATCGGATTATTATTTTATTGAAACAATCATAATAAAGTGATAATCATCGGATTATTATACTGGTACAATCATCATAACCCTTACTTGATCATATGAGACGGTATGAGTTAACCAACCTAATCATATGCATATATATAGAATTTATAGTTTATCACGCACGGTTAGCTTATTGCATACGGTCAGCTTAGCGCACACGGTCAGCTTAGCGCACACGGTCAGCTTAGCGCACACGGTCAGCTTATCTTTGAAGGCCATAATGTACATTTCTACATATGTTTATTATTATTGAGGCATTTTATGTTGAAACAATTTTGTAAATTGTCTCAATATAAAACGGCCTTGTCTCAAAATATAGTAGGAAACTTTTCAGCTGAAGACAAATTGTGAATCGTGCGTTCTCTTTCATATCAAAGTCAAAATTTTAAATAAGATCGCTGGTAATGACTGAAGTTCTCTCATGAACGTTAGTGCTGCTTTCGCTAAAGGCCCACACCCATTTCTTCATCATTCACTATACATTTTACTGATTTAAGGATAAGTGCCAAATTTATTTGAAGGCTTGTGCACCTCGGAACATATACACGACAAAAGCGGCGTGATTTTCAACAGCTTTAGTCTTCTTAAAATCACGTAAACAAATGTAGACTAAATCAGAAGGCTCTGTAATGGCGTCTGTGGCTTCACAACCCATGTAACTACACGACGCAAATTTAAAAACAGGTAATTACTGTATGACCACACGTTCTATTACTGGTTCAGGGAGTAAAATTTCAATTTCCCGGTTCAGTAATCGCGGTTCAGAAATTTCGGTTCAGCGAAAAGTGTTGAGATATTTTGGTTGAGTAATAATTGTTTAAGTCTTTATTGGTTCACTAATTCGGTTCAGGAATGCGACGTGGCGTGAGTCACGCGCTGCTTCCGGCTAGTCACGCTACAGTCACGCTACAGTCACGCTACAGTCACGCTACAGTCACGCTACAGTGCCGTCTGTCACTGGCACGACAGACAGCACCGGTTGTGTCAGAGGCAGCACCGCCTGCCGTCTGTCTCTGTCTAAGTCTCTGTCACTCCCGCCTGTCTTTAGCCTGTCTTCTGTCTCTGCTCCTGCCGTCTTTTTTTCTCTTAATTTCATTAGAATTCCTTTTTCCCTAATGGAAGACACAAGGTTCCCCACTCTTCCCCGCCAATCTTCCCTATTTTCATCCATTCCCTTCTATTCCCTCTCCCAAATTTCTTCCTCCCACTCCCCACTCTTTTTACCACACTTCTCTTCAATTTCACTACTTATCTGTCTGTTACAAATCTTATAATCGATATTTAACACACTTTCAATCGATCTGAAATTTTGCACACTTGCGTAAAGTCGGAGACAATGCATGAATCAATTGAGAGAATAAATAATTTTAATGAGCAAAAATTTTGTTATATTTAAATAATTAATTCTTTTAATATTTAAAAATAAAATATGAGATTCATTGTACATATGTAACATCAGAGACACAGGCTTCTTTAGAAGTGTTGTCTTTAAAAATTACTTTTTAAACGCGTATTATTCTATTTCTAAGCACAACCTTCACTTCTCCCCACTCTTTTTCCCCCACTTTTTCTTCCCCACTCTTTTTTCCCCCCACTCTTTCTTCCCCACTCTTTCTTCCCCACTGTTTCTTCCTTACTGTTTCTTCCCCACTCTTTCTCCCCACTCTTTTTTCCCCACTCTTTCTTCCCCACTCTCATGCACTCCATTGTCTCCCTCACGCTGCCGCGCTCGGCTTGGGGAAGAAAAACCCCAATTGTGCGGCACAATAAAAACTCCCCTCACGAGACACTGAGCCTCCCCGACACTTGGGGAACTTGCCAGACAATGTGGGACGGGGGGAGGGAAATAGGGGGACTGTGGGAGGGGGAGGAATTGGGGAATAGTTGAAAATAGGGGATGAGGGGGAAACTGAGGTGAGGAAGAGTCACGGGGCTGAACGTGTCTCTAAAATAAGTGCCGTTGTGACATAAATAAATCAATTAAAGTTATTCTATAAATAATGTATTCACTTTGAAGGCCATAATGTACATTTCTACATATGTTTATTATTATTGAGGCATTTTATGTTGAAACAATTTTGTAAATTGTCTCAATATAAAACGGCCTTGTCTCAAAATATAGTAGGAAACTTTTCAGCTGAAGACAAATTGTGAATCGTGCGTTCTCTTTCATATCAAAGTCAAAATTTTAAATAAGATCGCTGGTAATGACTGAAGTTCTCTCATGAACGTTAGTGCTGCTTTCGCTAAAGGCCCACACCCATTTCTTCATCATTCACTATACATTTTACTGATTTAAGGATAAGTGCCAAATTTATTTGAAGGCTTGTGCACCTCGGAACATATACACGACAAAAGCGGCGTGATTTTCAACAGCTTTAGTCTTCTTAAAATCACGTAAACAAATGTAGACTAAATCAGAAGGCTCTGTAATGGCGTCTGTGGCTTCACAACCCATGTAACTACACGACGCAAATTTAAAAACAGGTAATTACTGTATGACCACACGTTCTATTACTGGTTCAGGGAGTAAAATTTCAATTTCCCGGTTCAGTAATCGCGGTTCAGAAATTTCGGTTCAGCGAAAAGTGTTGAGATATTTTGGTTGAGTAATAATTGTTTAAGTCTTTATTGGTTCACTAATTCGGTTCAGGAATGCGACGTGGCGTGAGTCACGCGCTGCTTCCGGCGGTCACGTGGCGNCTCGCGCGTATAATCAAGCCACGCGTCACGCTCGCGCGTATAATCAAGCCACGCGCTCAACGCGCCGTCCGAAAATAGCGCTAAAAGCGACGCTAATGCCTCTGTCGTAGCGTAAAGCGTCGTAAGTGCTCGACGTGACGTAAGCTGTCGTAAATATACCGCCTCTTGAGTGGGGTACAAAATTGGGGGTTGAGTGGGTACATGAGTGGGCAGGAGAGTGGAGTGGGTTACTCGTGTTGATTGGCAAATTCATATTCAAATTCACGATGCGCACGAAATTCAGTTTCATGTGACGAAGAAATGGTGAGATTTGGGCGCCGATAGTAATTGGGCAGTAATCGTTTACTATTCACGCAGTAGTCGTATATTTATCGTGTATTAATAGTGCAACAATCGTGTATTAATTGTTCAGTAATCGTGTCTTAATTGTGCAATAATCGAGTATTAATCTTACAGTAATCGTGCAATGATCGTGTTTTGATCGTGCAGTAATCATACATATATCGTGCAGTAATCGTACATATATCGTGCAGTAGTCGTACATATATCGTGCAGTAATCGTACATATAGCGTGCAGTAATCGTACATATATCGTGCAGTAATCGTACATATATCGTGCAGTAACCGTACATATATCATGCAGTAACCGTACATATATCATGCAGTAACCGTACATATATCGTGCAGTAATCGTACATATATCGTGCAGTAATCATACATATATCATGCAGTAACCGTACATATATCATGCAGTAACCGTACATATATCATGCAGTAACCGTACATATATCATGCAGTAACCGTACATATATCATGCAGTAATCGTACATATATCGTGCAGTAATCATCTTTATCTTGCAGGTTGGCTTTAGTCTTGGCCACTGGGAGCTAAATTCGCGACGTGGATGAAAACGAACTCTGAATTTTGAAAAAACGAAATTACGAGTAGAATTTTAGTGAATTTTTAGCGACGTTGGCAAAAACGAATTCTGAATTTTGAAAGAAAACGAAATTACGAGTCGAAATTTAGTGAAATTTTAGCGATTCGAAACTTGGACAACAAGTGGACCACGAACAGAACGGCGCTTCTGATGAAAATAATTTGAAAATAACGCAGTGCAAATAGAGTGAAGAACATTGCAGTGTTTGTACATAAATAGGCTTTATTTAACAACTTATGAGAAGTTTTATTGGGACATCTTTTGAAAACGTTTTCTGATTATTTATATAATTGGTTACTAATGTGACTTATTGAAAATATAATTAGTTGATAATTAGCGAAGATGGCGCTGCCAGAGCTGCTGCACACCGACCACCAAGGTGAGTGGTGGGGTGAGTGGGTGGGGTGAGTGGGTGGGGTGAGTGGGTGGGGTGAGTAAGTGAGTAGACCTACTGCTTCGGTCTATTAAGTGGCATTTTAGAATAGGAAACATTTTATCGTGCACAATTTGTTAAAAAATTCATCATTTTATGTGGACTACACTAGGCTATTGCTTTAATAGGGTTTTCATTAGACATTTTTTTTTTAATTTTAGCTTTAGAGATAAGTTCACTGTTCACGTCCGCACTCAGTTTAGGAATGTGTGGCCGTTATTTGTACTCTGTATTTACTATTCACAATAGGTTCAACTTCTTTATAGTTTTAATATAAATTCGTTGTATATATCTTATCCATGTTAGTTATCCGTCAATTATTTTAGCATTCGATTGATTAGTTTTAGTATTTTTAGTCGCAGTAAAGCTTAGGACTCGAACTTGGAACAGTAAATGCTGAAAACAATTGGACTTTGACTTTTGCGAACTTCTTGCGTTTCAAACTAAAATGAAAATGCATTATTTCGTGCGCAGGCTTCCATTAAGCCATCATCTCTGTTTCCTTTTAGGCGTTCAAAACGATGGCGATCCAAACATTTATCTGAAAAATATTTATGGGGATTTTTTAACAAGTTTCAGTCATCAGAAGATCCCGTGACATCGCAGCCTGAGAGCCCGTGCCTGTTGCATACCGCTCTAATTAGTGCATCATATCGCTCCAAATAATGCACCATATCGCTCCAATTAATGCACTATATCGCTCTAATTAGTGCATCATATCGCTCCAAATAATGCACCATATCGCTCCAATTAATGCACTATATCGCTCTAATTAGTGCATCATATCGCTCCAAATAATGCACCATATCGCTCCAATTAGTGCACCATATCGCTCCAATTAATGCACTATATCGCTCCAATTAATGCACCATATCGCTCCAATTAATGCACCATATCGCTCCAAATAATGCACCATATCGCTCCAATTAATGCACCATATCGCTCCAA